CTAATCGGTCAAGACAAACCGTACGGTTGACACTATAACCGTTCCGATGGGTTGTTTAATTCCATCTAGGTTGTGAACCAACGATTCTTGTTTCGCAAGTAACTGATATAGTGATCTTCGGTACGCCCGATGACGACCCACTTATCTACATGCAAAACAACAGAACGTGGAACTTATTTAACCAAACATAATTCTCATTCATCATGGAATAACAAGTGTAATATCCACTAAAGCAAAGCTTAAGTATATAACACCAACAGGGGCAGAGCCCCCGCGGTACGGTACAGAGTATTTAAGTAAATTTATACCTTGTAGGGTTTTAGTATAAATACATGGTGTGTTGATGTATTTGTATTGATTGAGAATAATAAAGATCCCTCAGCTGCCGTGGACGTAGGCATATTGCCGAACCACGTAAATCTTGTGTTGTTTTACTTTCTCGATATTTAATTCGTATGCTATATTGTCATCTACTCTTAATAATGTATTGAACAGGATCCCAGAGAGGAGCAGTTCTTTTATACTGATCGTCGTAAACGAATTAGACCTCGGTTAATTACAACATTCTCTTAACCCGTATGATATTAAATATATATATATGCAGTAATTATTACTTTGATTCACATGAGTGAGGTTTAGTGAACTGGACAAATAAACCCATTGTCTTGGGTAATATCACTGTATGTATGATGTGCAATTAGGATATTTACGGTCAACATGTACACTTAGTTTGATGTTGTCCCCGGAGTGAGTTCATGAAGGATTATTATGTTAAACCCTACAGGTGGGTTAAATTCTGGCATACTAAGAATGTGATGAATGAGCGCTAGCTTCGGTGAAAGAATAATAAATTAATTAATTCTTAATTATCAGTAATCGAATTAATTAATGGACATTATATCTTAAACATGGGGAGATAATTCGAGTAATTGTTATTGGAGTCTCAATTGTAAATTGGGCTAGGAAAAGGGAGTTCAATAATATTATGTTGGTGGCCCATTAATATTATTTCAATAATTAGAATACTGGGTTTGGCCAACACGTATTTTATTTAATTAAGGAGCCATATTCGTAATCTCCTAAGGGTCCCTACTCTGGCTCTATACATATATCATTATGCTCATGGGAAGAGAAGAGTTGGACATTGATTCCACACGCCCCCTTCGGCTATTTCTCTCTCTCTCTCTCTCTCTCTCTCTCTCTCTCTCTCTCTCTCTCTCTCTCTGTCAGTTCCCATTCGAGTTTTATCTTCTTCTTGTTGCTCCACCGATACAAGTTGAAGAAGAGTGTTTGAGATATACAGTAGAAGATCCTGTGGTTTATTGAGATACATATATTTAGTCTAGGTGAACAAATTATTGTTAGGGTTACGGACCATTATATAAAGGACTCGCTCTCTTTTGTTCTCTTTAGTTGATTATTGAATAAAAATATATCGTTTGAGATTGAAATCTCTTTTATCTTTTCCCATTCATACGCTTCCCTACATCAGTTGGTATCAGAAGTCAGCACGATTCATGATACTTGCGCGAAGATACGATGCTGTAGATAATTGGCATGACGCTACCATCTCCAACCTGAGCCATCAGGTCGAGGGGTCTGGCAACCGGGTCGAGATGATGGGTCGTTGTATTACTGATCTGTCTGCAGAGATCGGGAACTTACATCTAACCCTTCATACTATGGTTCGGGACGAGCAGATGAACCACGACATGGCCGGGGGCTAGGGCGGTCACGGGATTTTTGAGTGGGCTCCGCGGACGAGGCTTTGATGGGGCACCCCACTAGCAGTCCCCACCACCTCTATACGACGTAGAATACAACGAAAGTACCTGGTCCTACATCAACCCGTTTGGTGGTCGTCCATCTTGGCAGGAGGCTGATGAGTTCGGCGATGGCCGCTATCGCGAGCAGCGACGACCAGACGTGGACTTCAAGGACATCGGGGGTCATGCGGCGCAGACAGTTTCTACGACGGTCCTCTGATTTTCGATGAGGAGCCTCCGAAGGTGGAAGAAAACTTGACCGAGGATTACAGTCCAACGCTTCGTCATGAGTCACTTGTTGATTTTTCTGTGTTGTTACAGACATCAATTTCTTGTGTTCAGGGCCGACCATGTCATTCTTTAGACCCATGGAGAAAATTGGGTAATGGGCCCTTTCTTCTACACATACATTTAATTTTCATCATAAAAAATATATTTTCCATATACAATTCAAAGTAGAATGTCACTAAATAAACTACAACTTGTTTTCTGGATTCTACACCTGGCCCCCACGGCCAGGCCGACCATTCATGAGGATTTGCCTTTGGGCCCACATTGGACATTTGACGAACCTTGTTTTTTTTTTTGGATCCTCTGTCACTACAAGAAATGTCAATTTTAACTAGACAAAAATTTCTAGCTAAATCCAAAAAATTCTAGCTAAATCCGTCTACCTATAAAATAGCTAGGCAAAAATTTACCAGCAAGCACTTTACCTACAAAGATCTAGGTAAATGTCTAGTTAAAATTGACATTTCTTGTAGTGTGTTTTGATGATGTTTTTATGTACTTTCGACATTGATGTAGATCTTGACTTTTTAGGCCTTTCAGTGCTATTATATTCACAGGTTGGGAGTGTAGCCTCAACCCCCCATCCCACACTGGGGTGCGTATAAAAAAAAAAGAAAGATATTGACCAAAAAAAAAAAAACCTACCTGACTTCAAATTTAAGTATGAATACATTGTTTGGTCCAATACATATCACCGAAGGCATTTTCACTACTATTACATTCTCCGATCTTGAATACACTTGAAATCTTCACCAAAAAGTTTATTGAAATAATTTGGACCTTCTTGCATTTTGAGAAGAAAAATCATCAATCATGTCATCGAAATCAATTTTTTCCCGCACTTCGTTTTCAATGCATAAAATTGCTAATCCATTTAATCTTTCTTGAGATATTGATGAACGCAATATAATTTTATCAATTTTAACTTTGAAAAACTTCTTTCCGCTGATGCAATAGTAATAGGTATTGTTAACAAAATTTTTATATGCAATAGAAACATTAGGCAAACAATCTAAATATTTGAAAAACTCAAGTACCTCCATGACTGACTTCATTTCTGTTGGTAAGCACATTCGTAGCACTTGTAATTCGGAAATAATCACTAGCATCGATATAACACATACCAGTATGTTTCAGAGAACTCTCATGATTAACACAATGTTCATGTAACTTGTTTTCATCCAATGAAGTTAACTTATTGTAATTAAACAGAAAACCGAATATATTTTCAAAAACTTCCAACTGTTCGAATCTACTCTTCAAGGATGAAATAGCAACATCTACTATGACAAAAAAATAATTTACCTTAAATGATTCCTCAGCAGACTGTGTAATGTCTTCGTGAGTGTTTTCATGAAATTGTTTCTTCCTATAAATTTTACATTTTTGTGGAAAAAATAGGATCAATTCCTATTTTATATGCAAGCTCTTTTGCTAATATCATAGCAGACTCAAAATTTTCATCCCTATATGTTGTGAAAATAAGAAATCAAACCTTGTAACATATATAATTATAGCGCCATCAATTTGCATATCCTCTGATTGCAACTTTTTCAAATCAAGTCAAATTTCTTCAGAATGTTATGCCATATAATCATGCCTAACAGAAACTCAAAATTTTCAAGTTGATGAGTTTCTAAAGACTCGTCCTCACTCTTGGTTTTTGCATCTTCACCGACTCTAGATAGCTCAAACAAATCATCTCTTTTCTCATTAAGTTTCGTTATTATCACTGCAACACTATTAACATGACTTTCCCATCTTGTTGTTGATCATGGTTTTAATGTTAGGGTTGCTTGACTCCAAGTAAAAGTCGTGTGAACACATCCTTGATGGATAATAGGACCAGAGCTTCCTTTTTAGATAACAAGGAGAATTTCAGCAGTGAAAATGTCTTTCCCCGTAGAATTTGTTGTGATGGATGAGGGATCCACCCCATAATTGCCCCTTTCAAGTCAAAGTTAAAGGTGTCATATGATCTTTGCAGCATCTTTGAAAACATAGGAAATACAAATAATTATGTCAGAATGGACCGCTCAGCGACTTACCAACTCCAAGTAAGTCAAGCATTACCTCTTGGACGACAGAGTTTATTAACCTTGGCTATACCAAAACTAAGTGAAGATAAGATATAACAATGCATTGATGGTGGACTAGGGGCACTTTCGGAAGGAAATGGTGAAATGGTTTGGCGAAATTCAACATTCGTGCCCGAACGGGGCACAAAGGGTGATTACTGCCATGAGTACGACTCCCAACGCCGACATCGAGATCGGCTCGAATTCGAGGCGAATCCTGCTCAATCGGGGGAGAATGATGCAGAATAGTATCTCTTATTCTTGGTATTGAAATATTTTTAGTTTAATTAATATCTATTATTATTATTATTATTATTATTATTATTATTATTATTATTATTATTATTATTATTATTATTATTTATGTTTAATTTTGTTGAACAAGTTATTGTTAAGGTTTATAAAATTGTACCAAAAAAAAAAAAAAAGAAATCTTATATAAAGTACTTTCATTCTCTTCCATTAATTATTGAATAAAAATACATTATTTGAGATTTAAATCATATTCTCCCACGAGTACGCTTCCTACATCAACTTTACTATACCTTGCAAAGAAAATCTTTAATATTTCGGAATAAACACACTCCTACTATTTTAGTTTATTTGAATGTGATCGCGAAGAGAGATGGCAAATGAGAGACGTTGTCAACGTGCAACCTTCATTTCACACTGAAGTAAACAAACTCCCCTACACACTGGGGACTCAAATTTCTTTTACTTCTCTCTATGATCCTAACAAACCCACACGTGCGCCGTTGACAACAAACTTCACTAAAAAAAAACCTTATTCCAAAGTCTCCTTTCCAAATCAAACATATCGTTCGGAGAGAAAACATTTCATGATTTGGATATGAAAAAGGGCGACGCGAACCCAGCCTGCGCCGTGTGCAAGTACCAGAGGAGGAGATGCACTCCCAACTGCCCCTTAGCCCCTTATTTCCCGGCCAACCACCCCAACACCTTCCAGAATGTTCACCGTCTATTCGGGGTCTCCAACGTAACCAAAATACTCGACAGCCTACACAGCTCCGACCAGAAGGAGGACGCCATGAAATCCATCATCTTCGAGGCTGAGATGCGGCGGAGGTATCCGGTCCACGGCTGCTCGGTCATTATACAACAGCTTCGTTTTCAGATAGAGTGCGCGCACCAAGAGCTCCGTCGCCTGTATTCTCTGTGTTTGCAGGTTGCCGCTTGTGAGGAACAATTGAATAATAATAATTATAACAATCATTTGAATTTGGATATTGGATCGGGTAATGGAAATGGCGCCGCTATTGATGATAAAATGATGGCGATGGACGATGACAGTAGTGCAGGAATTCCACAGTACATGCAAAATCATGTTTATTTTCAGGATTTACAAGGAATAATGGGTGATCCGCAGTCTTCCCTCAAGTTGGAATATTCAAGGTATCAATCAAATTAATGATCTTTATATTATTATTATTATTATTATTATTATTATTATTATTATTATTATTATTATTATTATTATTATTATTATTATTATTATTATTATTATATTATTATTATTATTATTACTCTCTCTATTTTTTATTAATTGACATTTGAGTGTACATTTCTTTTTTCTTATTAATTGTCATTTTGGATAATCATGAATTAATTAATTTTATAACTTCCCAAATCTTAAAAATCTGTACATTAGTTCATTTTTTTTTTTTTTTTTGTTTTATCTACAAAATGCTGCTTTATTGACAACTACAAAATTGAGGAGGAGAGAGAAAATACTACTAAGATATAGGAGAGTTAATTAAGATGTAGAATGACAAATTAATTACTTCCTTCAAATATGTAATTTGTTCTTTTTAAGTTAGAAGACATGTATTTTTGTTGGTATCAAAAATAATTTATAATGAAAATTGAGAAGAAATTACAATTAGTAACAATAACAATGAAGAAAAGAATATTTATTAATGTGAAGAAATAGATAAGAAGCTTGAAATGCTTTGTTATTCAAAATATGTTACTTTCTATTATTCTTCTTCTTGCATTCCATTCACTCACGCATTGTACATATATATAGCATGTATGGATATTTCTAGTCCTCAATAATTGATCATTGCCAACTAATTACAACTAATGCTCAACTAATGACAACTAATGCCAACTAATGACAACATAATTATTTCTAGAATGTGCATTAATAATTTAACACTCCCCCTTAATGCACATTTGGATAATTCCAAGTTTTTTTTTTTACGTAGAGTCTCGAATCTTGGTCGAGGTAAAGCCTTCGTGTCTCTAGTTGATCTTATGTAGCGATGTACTCGAGCTCTATTTGCTTGTCCATATATGTAGTGACTTTGTACGGCTTGTCTTTTTCTTATAGTGATTTCGCTTGTATTTATTGGCTCGACAATTGCTCGATTGCACATTCTATAGAACTTTGACTTTGCTTCTGGTGGCTTTGAAGCTTGTCTTCTGATGACTGTGAGAGCTTGCTTTTCCTGATGGCTTGATTCTGGAACTCCAGTATTTTTCTTCTTGGCGTCTTCTCTTTGACTGTTCACACTTGATTTGGTAATCTGTGTCGGATATTGAAATTCCATTGAAAAACATTGATTCTCCCCCATTCTGATTTTTGCAATTACTTTATTGTTCTTGTCATAAATGGTGCATGATTGTCTCCTGAAATGCAAGTTGTAGCCTTTCTTCAACATTTCACCGACACTTAGCAGGTTTTGATCAATTGCTGGAACTAAGAGGACATCTTTAATGTATTTTGTCTCTTTTCTTGTGTCAATGGCGATAGTTCCTTTGCCTATTGCTTCCACATAGTTGCCGTTTCCAATCTTGACTTTTGAACTGAATTTTTCAATATTGCAAAAGATGCTTTCATCGAATGTCATGTGATTGCTGCAGCCGCTGTCCAAGTACCAAATGCTTCTTTTGTCTTTTGTTGTACCATTGGAAACATAGAACAATAATTCTTCTGATTCAGTCTCTTCTGAAAAATTTGCCCGTTGACTTTGCCTTCTGCCCCAACAGTTTTCCTCGGCGTGGCCATACTTTTGACAATTTTTGCATTGATTTTTCTCTTGAAACCAACATTCTTCATCTTTGTGATTATTTTTATTGCAAATTCCACATGGTGTATCATACCATCTTTTGTTTTTGTTATTTTCTTTAATTCTTCTCCCCCCAATTTTAGAATTCTGAAACCGTAAATTTAATCTTGACTGAAATGCATTTTCGACTGAATCATTTTCACGCATACTCAGTCTTTTCTCATATGCTTCAAGTGAACCTATTAATTCTGTCACTGACAAATGATCCAAATTTTTAGTTTCTTCTGTCGTCGTGACGATAGGATCATATTTGGCTGGTAGAGTAATTAGAATTTTTTCTACCACCCTTTTGTCAGTAATAATTTCTCCATATGCTTTTAATTGATTTACTACTTCTCTTAATCGAGTGTAGTAATCTTTTACGGTCTCAGATTCTTTCATCTTCATATTTTCCAAATCTCTTCTTAGAGTTTGTAATTTCAGATGACGTACCTTGTCACTACCCTGGTATTCTTCCTTGAGAGTGTCCCACGCCTCCTTTGATGTATGTGCTCCGCTAATTCTCGGAAACAAGGACTCCGACATGGCCATTTGTAGTGTGAAAAGGGCCAAACTATCTTTTTCTTTTTCCCGGTCGAATTTTTCTTCGTCCGCCGTAGACAAAGTGGAAATGTCATCGGGTATAATATACCCGTTCTCGACAATATTCCATAGGCCTTGAGACATAAAATATGTTCTCATTTTGATGGCCCAATAGTTGTAATTTTCGCCGGAAAAAAATAGGAATTGCTATTTGATTGGTGTTTTGGGAAGTGGCCATAATAAATATTTAGAAGGATATGTGAAAGTGGGGTATTTGGACAAGATATGTAGAAAGGGGAGAATATTGAAAAATAATTTCGCCCAGTTATTAATCCAACCGGGCTCTGATACCACTGTTGGTATCAAAAATAATTTATAATGAAAATTGAGAAGAAATTATAATTAGTAACAATAACAATGAAGAAAAGAATATTTATTAATGTGAAGAAATAGATAAGAAGCTTGAAATGCTTTGTTATTCAAAATATGTTACTTTCTATTATTCTTCTTCTTGCATTCCATTCACTCACGCATTGTACATATATATAGCATGTATGGATATTTCTAGTCCTCAATAATTGATCATTGCCAACTAATTACAACTAATGCTCAACTAATGACAACTAATGCCAACTAATGACAACATAATTATTTCTAGAATGTGCATTAATAATTTAACAATTTTAAAACAGAGGGAGTATTATTTAAGTGATCACTTCTTAAAAATATTATATATATGGACCATATCTATGGGTTAATTTTTTTGAGAATGTCATTGACATTGTTTGATATAATAAAGAATGACTAATAAAGAATGAGGTTGTCCATATACTAAAGAAAGAGCCCTTCAAACCCATAAACACGCACATTCGAGATATTTTGTGACCTCCAAAAATGATGGTTTGATCTAGCTAGATAACCCCTAGTAGGAGAAAATGTACTTATCAGTCTCGGTCACAATAAATTAATTAATCAAAAAATACAATAATTGACATGGTCGGAAACAGTAGCATAGAGAGAATAGAATAAATAATTATTTTGAGAGACGAGGAAACGCTCGACTTCTTCTCTCTCATCCTCGCCCAATTCGCAGACCTAGGGTTCTTCTCAATCTGCTGCACCGCCCCCCTCCTTCCCGCCGACAGACCAACGATGCCTTTTGACGCAGGAGAAACGTACAAAAGGAGAATAAGAACTCACAAAGAGAACTCAAGAGATAATTTTATTCATACGATGTCTGCCTTACAATGAGAACTCATCCCCATTTAAATAGACTTCCCAAACCCTAGACTTATTTTAGTAATAGATATCCCAAATCATAAATAAAAGGAAATAAATATCCCAAATCATAAATAAAAGGAAATAAATAAAAATAAATAAAAGTGCTATAAATAATAAATAACTAAATACGAAGGCGATCGAATTTGTCCAGATAAGCCAATGCGATCTCGTCGCCATCATTCTCCCCCGGTTGGCGAGAATTCGCCCTCGAATCCAAGGGGATCTCGTCGTCTGAGTTGTCGCCGAGAAAAGGTACCAGGTGCTTGACGTTGAAAACGTCCGAAGTGCGAATGTGGGATGGAAGGCGAAGGCGGTAGGCGTTTGGATTGATTTTCTCCACAATCTCCAAAGGTCCAATCTTCCGGGCCGAAATCTTGTTGTACTCGTGAGCCGGAAAACGGTCCTTGGTCAAGACCGCCCATACAAAGTCGCCCACCTCAAACTCTAAATGACGCCGCCGGCGGTCGGCCTGCTTCTTGTACGT